TTCATGTATATTTGCTCCACTTAGCAGGCATCCCACACTCTTTGTCGTCTGCCTCCATCTTGTCTTTGATCTACTTAGCCTCTCTCCTCTGCTTTCAGGCTTTTCTGCCCATGCTTTTTCCTGATGACCCTTCACATTGGTTTTTCCAGCTTTCCAGTGCTCCCCTGCACAAGCAATCTGAAGCTTCAAAACACTAAGGGCAAAACGTCAATTTCAGCCACCCAAAGGAGGCAGGGCAAGTCATAGCTGCTCTTAAAAAGATTAAGCAGAGGAGCCTAAGAGTGTCCTGCTGATGAAGTGCCAACAGAGATACTCCTATCTCTGTGAGGGTTTCTCCTTCCCCTCTAGCAAAAGTAGCTGGCAGCAGCCTCTCTCAGAAGGGCCTGACTTGCCAGGCAGGAAGCTGCCCAGGGCACCAGAACATCCACAGCAGCAAAAAGAACCTTTTCAGTCCATGTCTAGCCCTAGCCTTGCTGTAACACAGAGCTACAAGCAGAAATTTTTTTTCTCCAAATGTCTTCGGAACATCTTCTACTTACAGAAGCATAAGACAGTACAGAAGTTACCTGGGCTTCCACACTGATTTCTGCTTTTAAGGTTACATTAAGTTTAATCTCATTTTGACTTTATTGTGTGCACCAAAATAGCAAACAGGTGGATCATCATGGTATTTGTTTCGCATGTTTGTAACCCAGTTGCCTCACACATTTCTCAGAAGCACAAGACTGAACAAAGAATCTCCTTGGGAAAAAAGGGTGAATCATTTTAGTTCTGCATTAACCTGTACTGACAACAGAATAACATACTTGAAAGCATCTTCTGTGTTCAATTTGTTACACGTTGTCTTCAGCATCTCGAACCCTGTGCCAGTAAATAACCCACAAGTTAGATGGATGTAAGCTGCTACTTGACATAAATAGCAGCAACGCCATTTGTTGCTCACCTGGCTCTCATCAGGGCTCTGAAATGCTTAGAAGTAGTTGAAAAAATAGGAAAGATAAAACCAAAAAGAATAGATGTGTGGGGAAAAAGCTGACATCAGTTTTTTTACTGACCCCCTAAGATCACCTTTTTCATAACAGTACTGCACTGGTTCTATTTTGTCATCACCACCAGGGTAATCTTATCGCACCTGCTAAAATCTCACTGCCGTGACTTCCTGAAGGCCACAGATTCACAAAGAGCCTTTCACAGGGCCCTTGGTATTTCCAATATTATTGAAGTCCTGCACTCCTCACCAGTGCTTCCAAAGGGTTAATTATGCTGTGCTAGACACCAGGGCACTTCCAGCAAGAGGAAGCGAGATGCATGTGATCCCACCGCTCATTGTCTCTCCCTGACATTTTCCCAGTTTCAGCCAAGTTTTGAAAAGGCAGGAATCTCCAAGATGTATACTTTCCAGCCAGTTTAATGAGCACCAAAGCCTGGGCAACACCCAAAGGCAAAGCAGGGAGGATGGACTATCCATTTTTGGCACTACCCTACCACAGCGCTCCTGATTCTTATCTGAGTGAGGTAGGAGCACTGCTAGAACTCTCTGGGAAAGGAAGAAAAGCAAACACATAGGAAATCTGATTAGAAATAAGTATAATATTCAAAATATTATTTTGTAAGTGGATCAATCAGGATGTAATTATTATTAGTTTCCTTTGGATATAAGTGCACCAAAAGACGGTAACATTGTGATGGTGTAGTCACACACAATGTATAATTATTTTACGTACATATGTAAGCCCTGTGACCACCACAGGGGCAAAAACCTGTGTAGTTGCATAACCAAGGAAGAAAAAATCCCAACACAGGGTAAACACAAGGGACTGCTGATAAGAAGGACATCCCCCAAATACACAAGGATGAGTGGCAAGACAAGAAACAAGATAAGCAGCATGAGGAACAGATGAGACCCCTCCATTTTTTGGAATGGGGCAAGTAGCATAAAACCATGCAGCTTAAGCAATACATATATTGCTGAAGATCGGTATGTATGAGAGTGCACCACAGCATGGCACTCTGCAAAGATTTTATAGGTATAGGAAATGAACTGAATAATGTAAAGTGCAGTCCTCTAAAACTTTTGCAGATAAAATATACCTCACATCCTTACCCAATCCTCTGCAGAGACCAGCCTTTCATTCAAAACTAATATAAATCCAAACACAATGAAATCAAGTCATCTGGTACACTATAGCCATTTCCAGATTCTTGGAATGTGTGAATGTGTGCTTTATCTCACATTCCAGTGGAGTCTTACGCCAAGTGCAAAAAATGCTGAGAAATACAAAGTTGAGGCCTCTTCAGACCTGGTTGGGCTATCACTGTCAGATGGCAAGTGTGTTCTGCAAATCATCTGCTTTCTCTGCTCTAAACAGAGAGAGTAAAAATGTTTATAGTTATTTGAAAAACTCCTGTCTTAATAGCAACATTCCACCAAAATGCAAATATACACCTTCTTAAACACAGTTTGCTTACTTTGGCTAGAACACAGCTTTTACATGGTATAATGTTTATTGCAAAAGTTTCTAAGCTGAAAACATAGTTGTACAAAATTCTAACTCATTTGATTGCCTTGGTTTTACAGGCTACAAATGAAAAGGAAATATAATCTCACCCCCCGCAGATGCCTAAATAGTAAAAATTTCCAGTTCTTTCCAAAGCCACAAATGCTGTAGTGAAAAATAATCATAGTTGCAGAATCATTGTTATTATTAGGAAAAAAAAAAGTAACAGAATGAAAATTTGACAAAACTAATTGTTTCATCTCAGTGGAGCAGAACCCATTATGTCCACATCAAGCCTTTTTGTACTTCAAGTTTAATACTACTCTTGGATCTATAAAATTAACCTTAGTGACAGAATAGGCTATACAAGCTGAAAGCATTGTTAGCCAAAAAAGATTTGGGCTCCATCCCATAGCTCACAGCTGACACTCCTACCCCAACATCTGTCTTAAGGGTAGTGGGAAGGTATCTAGATGCCCTGGCATGAGTGGGAGGAAATTTTGGGCATGGCACACCAGTGCAGCTGCTGCAGGCTGTGCCCCGAGCAATCTCCCATGCAAGCCCCGGCACCGAGGTACTTTGAGTCAAGCTGCTTCTGACACTGCTTTATGGAGGCTGCCCAAGTAAGCAACTCATATGGCCTCACAGAAACTACTCCGGATTCAAGACAGAAAGCCATAAAGCCAGATTAAAAATTTCCAGAACCCCTCTTGTTACAGGATGCAAGTTCTACACGTCTCTATTTCATCAGCCCAGACATGTCCATTGGGAGGACATTCAGACACAGACAACAACAGTCAGACAAAGGGTAGACATGGAGCATAAGCACAGTCGAGACATATTACACCCACTGAAATAAATAGAGCATGTCTAAAGGCTTCTCCCAGCTGCATTCGGCGCTCACTCATGGCTGGGTCTTGGTTTAGACAAAGTCAGTGAAGTTTGCACAGATGGCAAACAACTGTGACTGCAGTCTCCACATCGCTGTCACGGCACTGGAGAGCCAAGCTCACAGAAGATGCTCTTCTTGCTACTGGCCAGGTAAGGGGTGTATGGATGGTGTGGAAGCTGTGGCACCAAGAGGGAACAGGTGGGGACAGCAACAACCCCAAGCCATCACCAACCTCTCCCTTTGGCCAGTGTCCTGGAGGAGTAGAGAGTCCAGCTCTTCCTGGCACAGACCTCAGCAACTCTCCTTTCTCCAAGGGCAGAAGGATTACTCCACACAGCTAACACTGAGTTAATGTGCCGTTAATGTGCCATTAATGATACTAAATCAGAGACACTGAGTTCTTAGAGAAGAATGGGACCACTGTAGAAGTATCAACTTCTCCATTTCTTTTTTTTTTTCAATTTAAAGCAGTATCTTCCTACCTAATCTTTTAGGTATGTGCTCTTGAAATTTTTGTAACAACCTAAAATACAAAAATGTTTTGTGGAAGTCAGTATGGGAAACAAACTTCATGAAGGTCAGGTTGAAATGCATATTAATCAATCTTACCCTCCTTTCTTGAAGCACACAGCTAGATTGTCATCCTATTTAAGCTACCCTGAGTTTAGCGTAAGTGAAGATATTTTCACTCAAGCTGGCTTCACAAATATCGAATTTCTTCTATGAGTTCAACAGCCAAGGATAAAACTTAAACATACTTGACTGATGATTATCCACAATTCGTTGTTAAAAAAACAAAGCCAAGTACATTTATTTGGGAGTTAAAAAAAAAAAAAACAAAACCAAAAAAACAAAACACCAACATCCTCCAGTGATTTCTGACCTGTTTCCAAAATCCATTAGTCAGGTACATCAAAGTCACTATCACCAGAGAAACTACACCCATTTTTGCATGCTGACAAAGAAACCAGAAGACTGTTACTATCTGTAAGGCTCTTATTAGTTCACTCAACCTCTGCCTTTATCATTTCCACCAGCTTTATTTGATCTGAATTTGCAGGACAGAAAGTCTTTACTTACAACCATAGGCAATGTATGACCTGGGCAACATCTCTGCAGCACAGACTGCAGAGAGGCAAAAGTTCAATAGGCCAAGGTTCATTTTTGTTTAGTTTTTTTGATTGTCCTTAAAAGTTAAGTAGAAGATTTTAAAGGTATCTGAGAACTCAGAAAATGATAACAGGGAAACAACACCTCACAGCTATCCTGTGATGTTTCAAGATTTTGCCTCAGAAAAAATAAATACTGAGATTACATACAGACTGTGTATGTTCTCCAACAGTCTTAAAATGCATCTTTTTTCCCATTTATTACTGGGATTTGTTATTACTTGCTATGGGACCATCTGTGAGAGTTATGAATTTTCAAAAGCAGAATGACAGAGAAATCTTTTAAATAAGGCAAGACAGACTAACACCACATGCTCTTTAGAAAAACATCCTCTGTCAGCATGGGTAACATATGCTTCTTGTACAAGACAAGCAATCCCATCTCACAGTTCTATCTTCCATTACCCTGCTTCTGTAATGTAAAGGCATTGTAGATCTTACCGCTGTACAAAAGATGCAGCTGCATTCCTGAAGAGTGGTCATCTTATCCAGGGAATATTCACAGAGACATAGCTTGCAAGTGAGTAGAGGCTCCAGAGCTAGCTCTCCAGCTTCTGACTCATCAGCTGTCATGGTGTGAGGACAAGCCTTCCCAGCAGACCCCATTCAGTCATTAATAGTCCACTCAGCCTGAAAAGAGAAATTGATAGCTGAAACATCACACAAGCCATGTAGTCACTTCTATAGGCCTGTGAATTTACATCTAAAACCCATAAAAGCACCACCACACCCAAATGTATTGCTTGACATCTTAGGGGTAGTCTCCCACTTCAGGCCACTCAAAATTTATAAAGGAGGTGACTGAGAGCCCACCTCCTCAAAAGACCTGAACTTGGCTGTGTTCTCAGAGAACATTCATCTTGCTGGCACAAAGCACTGCAGTCAGGCTGCTTAACATCAAGTTAAAGGAAAAACCAAACAAACACAAACCAAAACTCACACAGATGGGGGATTACCTATATTACATGCAACAGTATAGTGGTCAGAGCCCTCATCGAAGTCCTAGGAGCAGGGACATGATTTGGGAAAATAAATTGTTAACTTAAAAAAATAAACTGATTCATATGTACATAGATATATATCCTCTGCCTTTTCAAATGAGCTTCAGAGTCATTCCCCTCCGATCCCTATGGGATCCTTCAGTCTTCGTTGCACCCACGCAGTTCCAGTGGGTGTCTCTACTCACTCTCTGTTTCAGGTGATGGCTCAGGAGCTTCCCTGGGCAGTGCAAGACAAAAACAGATTCTCACTTTCCAGGCAAGCATTTCAAATATTCAGTCTGTAATGTAAGTGGTGGGTACCATGTACTCCATCTTCTCCATGAGTTGTCACTGAGATAGCAAGCTGAGAGTCTACTGCAAGATGGATAGTGAAAGCATCTAAACCCAGGAAAAGGTTTCAAATTGCATATCCTACTTCATACAAGGCTGAAGCTTAAATACAAATGAGTAAGAGTATTTCATGTGCAGTCCTCTTTTCTGCTTTGCCTTGATGATGCCAGACAATAGCTTTTGTGCATCCCACTCCCTGGCATCCAGCTAACCCATTTATTTCATAGGGTTCCTAGGCATCTAACTGAGGTTTGTGAACCAAGAACAAAGTGCATTAACACTTTGACAGGGAGATGCTCAGAATAGCCATGTTTTCACCACACGTCACAGCAGTGCTTGGGGAAGAAATTCCTATTCTTTGATGAGCAACAAATGGAAATATCATGCTCAGATGTAACATTTTATGGTCTAAGCATTTGAAAACACTGCATCACAATCATAAAAAATTTCAAGACCCTCATACCTTCACAGTAACGCTGAAAAAAGAATTAAAAAGAATATCCTCAAGCTTAAGCTGAAACAATGCAAAGCACATTTGCAGATTTTATTTGCCTCAACATAGTCAGTGGGATTCACTGCAGCATTTAAGGCACAGGAAAATCTATTCCTATCTCTAAGAAACTTGACCCAATTTTTAAAGACTTGCTTCTGAACACACTTAGGTGGTGATAAGATGACCTTCACACCTACTTGTTACAAGCAGAGACGTGGTGGTCAGCTGTACACAGCTGCTTGCAGCAGCACCAAGAGTGCATCTCCACTAAATCTAAAGAGCTACATCACGAATGGAGGTTGCCTGAACATGAAACCGATCAAGACCCATCCATGTGCCTGTCAGATTTGACATCTCACGAGATAAACAGGAGACTCAAGCCCTTTGGTCCACTTCTGCTGGCCTTCCCTGCAGTCCTGAGCGTCCTCGTGACAGGGCTGTCAGGTCACATTTGGCAGCATGTCCCTGCTGCCATTCTGTGGCTCCCAGAGCAGCCAGGCCAGCTGCAGATAGTCAGTGTGTATGTGACTTACTGACTTGCAGTACCTGCTGAATTCCTCCATAGAGGGAGAAATAATGAGGGTCATGGAGTTCAAGTGCTCAATGCACGTGGAACCCTTCCCCACAGTTTCCACTTCATAATCTGATGCACAGCCGAGCCCCATCCCCAGACCTGTCCCCTAAGCTTCATGACCTGCGCTCCCACAATCTGCAGGAACACACTTTCCTTTCAAATGCTGTGCAACCACAGCAAATCTGGGTCAGAGCACACTTACTCCTTTCTAATTTTTTTCTCTTTGAAGTTTTTTAGCCTAGTCAGTCAGAGAAGCCACCAGATTTGTACCTTGGGATGTCTTTGTTGTAAGCACCCAGTTTCAAGAGATACAAGAGTCATAGCCAAGATTCTGGCAACCAAATTCCTGATCACAAATCCAAAGCAAACTCTCCATTTTATGGCTTCCTATCACTAGTTCAAAAATATGCCAGTCCCACATTATTGTTGGTGCAGTCCTGGGACCTGCTACCATGATGCCCCCCACAATTTTTCCATACAGCTGCAGAGCTGGAGCTCCAGCACCGGCAAAAACCTTGGAAGGAAGCCTCCCTCTGAGTCAGGAATTACAATACTCCTCTGTAATTACTGCAAGGGAGTGGGGGGGAACACTGAGTCACTGGAAACACTATGGCAGATCAAGAACTACCTGTTATTTAAAACTATGTGCTAGACATTATCTCAGTATTTAGGGGAATTTTAACATTTTTACTCAGGTTGCTTTTCAACATCAGCTGCATCTGTACAGGGAGCTACTCATCGTCACCCTGCACAGATCTGAAGTTTCTTCATTTACACGGTAAAAGGTAACAATGTTAAAAGAAGGGATTCACAAAAGGACAGGTAGGAGTATTTCAGGATGTGGGAACAGATAGAAAATGGATACAGCTCTTTCCCAAGTCAGTGTTCTTTTTATAACCAAAAGGGTTATGACCCTGCATGCAGGCAGCATTAAGGCAGCCGTAGGAAGATTCAGGTGTATGACTGAGGTTTAAGGCTGGGGGCTAATTTTAGATGGCCTAAATCCAGGACTCAGTGCAACAGCAACAGTGACAGTGAAGAGCAGGTTCCTGACACACCACTCTGCCCTGATAGCAACCACATGCCACAGTATGATGGCTGTAGGGACTCATTATGACATCCCATTGTCATTATGATAATGCTTGTTTCTGAAGACTGTAGGTTAAATTCAGTTTTGCTCCCTTTCCCTCCACACACTTATCTTTCCCAGGATTCCAGAACAGAGCTGAGATTCTCCTTAAAACAGGCAGAGCACCCCATAGAAATCTTCAGCAGACAATACCAAGCAAACCTGGCAGACCAGAGGATCCAGTCCCCAGACAGGCCAGGCTCACCTCACCGCAGCCTCAATAACCTCATTGGAGTTCATCAAACAGAGCAAACAGAATCAGAGGCAAGGTGACAGCTCCGTGTCCTGTCTGCTCAGCCCCTGAAGGAGAAGCACCACGGCTATTAGGAACAAAACTCCCTCCGTACTCCCTGGGAGGCCAGCTTGTCCACAAGCAGTTCTCTGGATCAGGTTGGCACAGGCAAAGCCATCCTGTTAGCACTGAGAGCCTGCCTGTCCAAGGGGGAGCAGATGTATGGCCTTCTTAGCCTATTCCTTTTCCCAAGGCAACCCAACCCACTGGTCTCTGTGTCTGCCCAGCAGAGTTGAGACTTCTGCTACTGCTGCCAATGGACACATGCAGGGAGAAGAGTTAAGGGTTATGGAGAAGGGTAGCCCTATCCAACAGCATCTGGGCTCTGAAATCAGATCTGCATAGGAGGTTCATTCTCATTATCAGATCACAGTGGAAAAAATGGGGAGAGAAAGATACAGGTCTTCCTCCAGTTCTCACCCTCTACTCCTTCTCCTGCTCTTTACCAGCACTTCAAGATGATTGTCCTCTCCGAAGCTCTCAAACTATCTCCTCAACTTTACCAGCCTGGCAGAACTCACTTTTCCATGTGCTGCAGAGAAGCCATGAAGTTCTACCTCAGTTGCTCTGAACTTTTATGGCTTTCACTTTGCTATGCTTAGTCCCACAGACTGTCATTAGTTAATTATACATCCATCAGTTCTCTTTACAGTGAATTAAAATTCCTATTGTAATTACAAGTAAGTTGCCAATAGGCTAGGCTGAAAAAAAAACATCTTCGATGTACGTGTTGTGCAGGGGAAGAGGGAGTCACTGAAGAATGAGTTGGGAACAAAGAGAAAAAGACCATTCCATATTTGGTTAGATCAATAAAAGTGGCCTGAAATAAAAGTAAATGGGAAGTCTCTGAAAAACAATGGATCCTCATATATATAAAATACATTTTTAAGCACTAAAATCTTCCCTTTCATGCTTACAAACACAAATGACCCACTTAGGTTAGCATCCCAAGCAAAGGAAGAAATGTGTCACTGCAACTGTAATGCAGTCCCTAATCGATCACAAAAACTTCCCCTGTACAGCAACACGGGCTCCACGAGATGTTGTGGAATATGGATAAACACATTTCAAGGACATTCTAACGCAGAGAATCCTGCATCAGCATAAATCAGTGGCAAGGAAGGGTCAAACGTACTTCAGTGTGCGTAAACACTCAGGACCTTTAAAGATCCACTTTTTTAACATACTTCTATCAGTCATGTACATGCACACAAACACAAATCATGCTCCTTTATTCATTGCACAGGATTTCCAGGAAACCGGACATCTTTCCTCAAATTGTATGTTACCTGTCTCATAAGAGGACTCATACTTCCCTGGCTCTGACGTTAACGGTATTGATGCCACAGGATAAGGCAGGACCAGAAAGTCTGAGTAAATGTGAGCGAGCTATGTGGGGTCAGCCCTAGGAGGATGTAAACTGCACAGTCATCAGGACCACAGTTTGCCAAGCACTCAGGCCTGTCAACATTTCCTTTTCATTTGTCTGCCTGTGGACACTTTTGCTTTGTCTATGGGACGTGACAAAGCTTTGTGCTTTCACATAGCACTGAAACGTCTCAACACTACCTGTAAGCAAGAAAACATTAGAGTGTGCTCAAACGGCTGAGAAGGATAAGTACAAGCAGAAACATTAACACAAAAGCAGTGGAGATTTTGAATGAAATATGAAAAACAGAACAAGAGCCCTGGAAGAAGGAATACAGAACTTATATGCCTTCAGGGCCTCCTGACACCACAGTGTCTGATGTCTAGCCTTGAAAATTACTTCCTAACAGCAAATATTTGCTGTGCCTGCTTCTAGACAGGTA